TACAAAAATGGGAAATAGATGCAGCAGTTTACTGAAATTAGGCATGAAATTCCCCTTTCTGTTGGCATAGAGACATTTACTTGGACATTTAATCTGAGATTTGTCGTATACGAAGAAAAACTGTGCAACACCAGCAGTAAGTCTCTGTTTTTCTACACAATAAAGATGCTGTAGTTTACTCTGGACACATTATAAGATCAAACAAACAATAAAAACAGGAACTTTCTTTCATTGAATCATTACTGCACCATGAATGTGTGCACGAGAGGTCTGTGTCAGTAGGACAAGCTGGAAAATTACAGTTAAAAGCCCAAAACTTTGTCCTACTTCAAGACGTCTTTGCCGGGCCGATTCTGGTCCACGGGTCTTATGTTTGACACCCTGAAAGCAAACAGCACACTAACACACATGCTTTACTGACCACACATTTTGTGCTCATACATCTGCACTGCGACACAGAACCATCCAACTTAACCACACAGTCTTTTTTAACTGTAATTTAATGTTAAAGCTGATCTAAAATATTGAGCACGACTTCTACCACCTCACGTTTCTTTCTCTCTCAGGAAGCCTAATGTTGGCTGACTGCTGCCGCATGCTTTCAGTTGTGTGACTCTTACAGTCGGGTGAAACATTTCAGGGGAAACATCGGAAGCGTCGGCTCTGAGTGGGTCTTCCTGTTGCCCAAAGAGCATCAATCAGCTAAGTAACACAAACACAACCAGTGCACAGGACGATGATCTCACCCATGTGTTATAGCTCAAAAACATTTTAATAACCAATTATTAAACCATATGCAGAAACCTCTTAATCCTGCTGTGACCACGCAGCCATTTTATACGCACTCTGTATTAAAAATGAATGAAGCTTAATGAGAAAATCAGCCCGTTTCCCATCATCTGCTTCTGCATCAGTACTTCAGGACGGAAAAGCAGCATTTTGGCAGGATGTTAATGCTTCTCTTGTGGATGTACGGCACCAGGCTTCAGGTCGCACATTAGCAAAGCACTGACACATACATACACAACCCACAATGAGTATGAACTACTATTTATTAACTCTTATCAGCCCAGTTAGCGGTGCAGTGGTGCATATCAAACTGATAGCAGGATTCATGCTTTTTGAAATAAGGACTCAG